GGGGGTAAATATTTATTTGAAAGAATATTACTTTTTTGGAGGAAAGATGCTTTAAGTCAACATGAAATGGAAATTCACAAATCTATTTACTAAAAACATGTTATTGATCTTACTGTGAATGATTCATCTATGCACGTTTCATTTTTAAATATTTTTTAACCTAATCAAAATGTCAAAACTGGATATTCGATCAGACTTCTCTCAATCATTTTATGGTTTTAATTGCCCCTTTCTTATTATCGACTGCAAGCTTGCATTCAGATCTGCCTCCATCCAATCAACAAACAATGCATAGAACTGCTCTACATTTTTTTCTTTACCATAATCTTTTTCACTCTTTCAGTACGTCACAGTACTAAAGGAAAGGATCTGTCGCTAATTCTGTTACATTGCTTTAAGTTCTTCAAACCACAAGGGTTGCTGGTTTGCTTTCTTAAAAGAATATGCAAAAACTGTAATATGTATTCACAATTTAGTAACTCACATCTTCCAAATAATCGGATGCCATGTACATTCCTTTCATAAAACTCTTGCACTCTGCTTGCTGCCAGTCTAAGACAGTTCTTGCACGATCCATGTGTGTCCATGCAATTTTATTAGTACCACAAACAATGGACACGATAGAGCTTGCATCCTGCAAGACATTCATAAATAAAACATAGCACAGAACTCCTCATTCACAAAAGATGTAGTGGTTTAGACAGATTTGCCTCACCTCCAATAGAGCTTGGTCAACCTCAGGCCTTATGAATTTAGCCAGATGGACTTTTCCCTTTTTCCTCTCCTTCTTGTCAGTTGGTTTAAGGATGGAGGCAAAGACTATGACAGCACTCTTGTGTTTCAGTAAGGGCACATTCATAACACTCTCCAGACTGTTGAATGGTCCATGTGCGGTTCTGTATTTGACAATGTTAACAGCTTTCCGACCTCGTAGCAGTTTGACCTGTTCCAGTTCTGACTCTGTGGATGTATTGAGGCACTGGAGGATGACAGCACGCTGCTCTGCGGTATAACATGAGTCCAGGGGTTTGTCCTTTTCTTGGCATAATTCGGAGGAAACAGATGCATTCAGGATGTCAAGCCCAGCGATCATGATTTTGCTCCTTCTGCAACAGGTGCTTTGCAAGAATCTGAGCTCATATTCAGGCAAGGAGCTCGGGGGGCGACAGAACAGACTGTAATGACCTGTAACCAATCAATGATTTAGTCAGAAAATAAAATTATCTACTTAAGATAATTCACGAATAACGGCGATTGGCCAATCAGAACTCGTTTCTCTAACAAGCTGCACACAAGCTTTTCGTCATTTTTCGCGCAAAATGGTTCAAGCTCAACTTTTGAATTTCTTTAAAAAGAAGACAACAGAAAAGGTATGATTTTTTTCCTTCCTTAGAATTTAAAACATTCCCCTGACATAATGTTATTGTGCTGTATGTGTAACTGAGGGATTGAGAGATGATAGGAGAGCTGACATTATCCAGTCATCGACCTTGCAAAAACCAAACAAAAACACGTCTTGAGAGTCCAAAAGCATTCACTGTGCGATGAAGCCTATTAGAATACAGGTAAAATAACCTTATAATTCAAGCAATTAAAGAAAAATACCCATGTATGAGTTATGTTTTTATATTCATTGCACAAGCAATGTACTTTTCTGAATATCAGTAGGCCTACATGCGCGAGCACAAATGTGTTATTAATTTTATACAACAGTGCATAGTAACACGGTGTTTCGTTCCTTGAATGAATCAGTTTTTGAACGAATCAAGTGAACCAGTGATTCACGGCCCATTCAGATGGACACTTTCCCTGCGTCCCAAATGTGCATACTATCCAGCCTGTCTGCACTAAATAGTAATTACTAATATCACAGAATTTAGGATGGATAGTAGTATGCACATTGGGACGCAGGCTTGTTACGTTTCTAATTGAATCAGCCGTTTTGAACAAGTCGTTTGATTTGAACGATTCAATAAATCATTTATCAAAACAAGGGCTTGCTGCCCTAAATTTTATTGTCAACCTTATTTATCCATGACAGGCCTAAACCAGCCAAGGTTTTTAGCACAAAAGCACATTTAGCAAAATATTGTTTAATTATAAATTTTGACCAAAATTCCTCCATTTCAGGCCCAAGGGAAAAAAACTTATAAATAATAGTTCATTTAATAAGGCAAAAATTTCATTAAATAAAAACCTTTTTTAAAATTAGACAAATTTTGTATATAATATATATATTATTTGTATTGTAATATATATATATATTCAAGCAAAGTCACATTTTTATTATAGTCATTGTTGCAAAATAAATAAATCATCAAACGACAATCAATTTTTTAATTTCAGCTATAAAGCAGCTCCACAGAAGACAATACTGTCATTATTCAGCTCAATTCGGTCCAAGATTTTGTATTCTCAATCAATAATTGAGTGTCAGTAGTGTTAGATATTAGTCCCAACTAAGAAACTTAATTCAACAAACAAATTCTAATAAACATAAATAAATAGATTAAATTAAAAAAAAAACTCTTTGCATTATATATAACTTTAGACTTTTAAATAAATTAGTGCAACTGATAATCCAAGATCGAAAAAGATCTGTGAAGCTGCAAGATACTTTATAGTCCTTGTGATTGACAAAGCAAGGGCTAGATCTAATTAAATGTCGTACCCAATATATTTACAAGTGTTGTTATTAATTACCTTTGAGGAATATGGAGGATAAGAGGCGTTTTGCGACCCACATGTTTGATCGCCACAGTTCTGTGTTTTTCTTACATATGACTGGGCGGCGCCATACATTGCCCTCAGATGTCCGACGTTAAGGACTCGTGAGGAAACACAGCGTATGTGACTTTGGTTCCGACTACGAATGGACGCTTTGCTCAAGAAAATAAAGCGATTCGTGGGACTTTCAGTTTCGATTCCGAAAAAACCGCCTTGACATGATGTCGCTATTATATGAGGATATTGTGAAGTTCGTCGCAAATAACCTTAAATGCTCGATATGTATGGAGATTTTCACAAAGCCGGTTACACTAGTTTGTGGGCATAACTATTGTCAGAAGTGCATCAATGCATGTTGGGCAAAGAGCAGCGCAAGGAGAGATTGTCCGCATTGCCGGGCAGATGTAAGCAGTAGTAAACTAGAGATGAATTTCACTCTGTGTGACATACTGGAATTACAGGACCTTGGTGGTCGCGAGAAATGGGAGCAAATTCTGGCAGAAACAGATCAAGCAGATCAAACGCAACACGCTCGGACAACTGTTACAAAAGTGGCAAGTTCATGGACTTATCAAACAGCTTAATAATACAATATAAGAATGAAAAGGGGGGTAGGTAGTTGATTGAAAAGCCAACTTTGAGCTTTTCCTAACTTTCTAACTTTTATTGCGACTGCTTGCGCTTTAGGATATTTTAATGAAACGTCTGGATTGGTTAAAAGCTGAGATCAAAAAGACGGAAGATACACTTTCAGCTGAGCTAAGTTCAAATCAGGCTTGTGAGGTAATAAGTTTAATTCTTAATACTTTTACATTTGCACATGCACTATGTGAAAAAAAAATGTATCTTAAGAAATAATGATAATTTTGAACCACACTCAGGTTGGCATTTGTGATTCCTCGATTGTTCAGATGGATGTTTCCAGTTCGTCTTTAGACAGTGATGCTTCAAGTTGTTATGCTGGCAGAAGTGTTAGTCTGACATCAGGGGATCTACCTTCTCAGTCTGAAGAGGTACAGCATTTTTGGTATCTGATGACTTATAACAATACTATTATGACTCTGAGCAAGGTCCACAAACAATGTGTTTGTATGTATGTGTACAGTTCTCTGTCTGAGAAAACACTACATAACCATAAATAAATTTAGGAAATAATTAGGTGCTGTTTGTGATGTTAGCCATTGTAGAAGTTCCGCCACCAAAAAAGCCACGCCCCTATCCACAACCCACAAGAATGATCGGCATCTGTTTAAAGGGGTCCTATTATGCTCTTTTACAAAGTCTTGATTTTGTTTTGGGGGTGTACTAGAACATGCTCTCATGTTAGGTGGTTCGAAAAACGCATTATTTTTCACATAATTTACATTATTACAATACCTTTCTCCCCAGCCTGGCACAAACGGCTCGATTAGTAGTGTTGGGTCGTTCTTGAACGATTCGTTCATTTTGAACGAATCTTTAATGTGACTCGGGAGGAACGAGTCGTCTCGGGGAGTGATTCGTTCAGTCGCGCATGCGCAACATCCTATAGGTTCTGTACTGGAATTAGTCAAGTAGTTCGTCTGAGCCGGAAAGAGAATTGATTAGTTCATCTCTCGAGTCTTCGGGTTTGAGTCGTTCATTTATCACGTGACAGCCCCATATGCTTTAACCCAGGGGTGCCTCTTTAAGAAGAATCGCTAAATGTATCCCCCAATTGTAAGTTCAATTGCAACTTTTGCTCAGTTGGTTGTCATCCGCTTTCGGAAGCCCAAAGACGTTTGGGCATGGAGGTGAAAAAAAATAGCGTTTCAGGCGGTCGCACACCGGACGAGAAGCGCAGCGCCGCGCCACGCCACGCCACGCCACGCCACGCCACGTCTTTAAAATTCAAATACATTATTTTCTATGAGTGTAGGCACACCGGCGGCGCCGTTCGGCGTCTGTCCGCGGTGCCCAGCTACGTCGTGTTATACTTGTAAGAATTGTTCTAGACATGCCGAAAATTTGACGCTACAGCACAGCATCTCTTCTCCTTCGTTTTTTCTGATGCACTATCTCTGCAGCAGCACTTCTTCTTCATCGTCTCGTCTGATGCACTCACTCAACCAAGCGTTCTAACCACATCCTCGCCCCTCCCCACCCCCCAACCATTCGATTTTCTGTAGGCGGGAATTATTGTTAATGATATTCTAATGAGCCGCTTTGTGATATCACAAAGCCCGTAAACCAACGTTGTAGTCCAAACGAGCCATTCGTTGTAGTTCTTGTAGATCTTTTTTATGCCCAAACATACACACTACATACTGACTAAAATTAAAAAAGTGAAAAAGCATAATAGGACCCCTTTAAATGCACTTTATTGCTCTCAGCTTCCTTCATTGAAAGCTTTACTGATGTTTACATACGTCTTGCTTCTTTTGTAGTCACTTTAAGTTGTTTCTATTGTTGAAGGACTAAAACATTTCACATCCTCCCAAATAGCTAAAAACTTAACAACAACAACAAAAAAAGTTACTTTAAAGCCCTCAGATTCTGGCTTATGCACTATGACAGTGCTAAATGATTGACATGCAGAAAGCACCTCGAATGTCCTTTGATCAGCTAAACAAAAAATGTGACATTTAATTGGGAAAATACTAGACATGATCAGTTTTTATGCTTATTGTAGGGCCACTTATTTATCCAGTTTATGAAAATATTAACGTGCAATTCCATTCACTAATTATTTTTTATTCAGCAATGACACATTAAAAATGACAGTATAGATATTTATAAGGTTTCAAAGATTTAAAAGAAATGCTGTTCAAAAATATGAAACAGCACTATCTTTAACATTGATAATAATTAGAAATCTAACTCAGCATCAAATCAGCATATTAGAATTATTTCTGAAATATCATGACACTGAAGACTGGAATAATGATTGCAAAATAATTAAATTCACATCAATAAATTATATTTTAAAATCTAATGAAATAAAAATTATTTACTGTGAATTGTAATATTTCACAATATTACTGTTTTTTTTGTTGATCAAATAAATGTAGCCTTTGCTGAGCATAGGAGACTTTCAAAAAATATTTTTAAAAATCTTACAACACCCCAAACTGTTGATTGTTAGTGCAAATATTTTAATGATTCATGATAAATTATATGTCAGGTTACCTTTATTTATATAGCACTTTATACAGTGCAGATCATTTCAAAGCAAATATGTGTATGGGAAGTTAATGAGATCCAATAATGTTCTTATGAGATGCCTATACGAGAGGTTTGGGAACCAAAGTGTTTTCATCAAATCACCCCAACAAGTATATGTATTCACTAGTGATTCAAGGATCTTAATAAAATTTAAGTAAGAATTCTGAGAAATATTTTTACATATATAGTCATTACTCATGGAATGGAGCTGATTGTTAAAAACATAATCTTTCTCAGGAGAGTTCACAGGAGTTTGTAGAGGAGGCTCCAGAGAATTCAGAATCTCTGTTTGAGGATGCTCATCTCACTCCCAGTGCAGGAGCACAGCAGCGCAACAGAGACAGTGCTGAGGGTTATGTTTTTATGCTAACATTTTTATGCATGCTTGAACTAAAAATGTGTCTTTGGTGTTATTCATGTTAACTTAAATGTCTTTCTCTCCCTCCCAGCTGGTCTTCATGCAGAGTTCGTTGAGCTTTCTTTTTCTCCCCAGCTGGGAAACAAGCGGCTGGTTTTTCACACAGAGAGCCGCAGAGTAGAAACACAACCAGGGAACCAAGCAAGAACATCACACGGGCGTTTTGATGCCTGTCAGTGGATGGCAGAGCAGGAATTCAGAGGAGGGTGGGTTTACTGGGACGTGGACACCACATTCAGCACTGGATGGGCTGTTGGTGTGGCAAATCCCAGTCTGAAGCGTAGCGAACGGTTGGGAAGAACTCCTTCATCTTGGTGTTTGGAGTGGAGCAGTGGGCAACTGAGTGCTTGGCACAATAATATAAAAACTTCTGTTAAGCATAGCATCCCTAATGGGATCAGAGTCATTCTGGACATGCCAAAAGGGCAGTTGTCCTTTCAGAGTCTGCGTGATAGCCTGCTTGAATTACACAGTTTCCAGGTGGATTCCTCTGGCCCTTTCATACCTGTCTTCTGGCTTTATGGACTGTCACACAATGCCTTAACCTTTCCTAGACATTGAGTTCAGGATAACAGAGATCTGTAGCATTTACACTTTATACTTTATACGCTCCATTTTGTTTACAGAATATGTATTCTATTACTATTACTATATAAAGTAATCTTGTATTTTATTTTTATTTTTTTAATTACATATCTGTGTAATCTCATTTGGCTTTCTGGTATTTAACCATTTAGCCACACATCCATAATTATTCTAGGACTAAAGCATGTCCCGTTTTTGCTATCCTGTTTATTTCTACAATTTTGGATTGCGATACAGCTAATATTGTTGGCTCCTTTATGATGTTTTCTTTTTGTTCATTGTATTTTGGGCACTTTAGATAAAAGTTAAAGTATACATGTATAAATGACTGTAAATTGTTCTGCTGATTGCTGTAATATACTGTAATCTTAATGGTACGAAATATTATGTAATGCTATATTTTTTTTGTCTTGATAGCATTTGTAAATGGTGATTTTCAAATAACAACTTTATACTAATTTAAAACTGAAGAATCTTGCGTTTTCTTTTGAGTTTTGCATAGTTTGTTCCTCAGTGAGACCCGTAGACATGTTGGAGGTCGTGTGTGTAACACTGGGTTACATCAGTTAACAGCTGCTGAGTGTCTCCATCCCTTTAGACTGCATCAGTACCAATAGATGCCGATGCTTATATCATCTAGAGAACGTCGTATCCCATGATTTCAAAGAAAATCTTCTAATCAGTTTTAATTGTTCATAATGTCAAGCTTACTTAGTGTCGAGGTTGATGTGCATTGCTGTGGACATGTGTAAAATCCTGACGATTATAATAGGTTCGATTTGACTTCACAAGTGGGAAATATGCGAAAAGACGTGAGGATTCTGTTGGTTGGAGAACGTAAGTCTCTTATTGAGTACATGGTTTAATTTAAGTGTTACGAAACCATAACCTTATGATAATTTAACCTTAAAATTAATTAACCATTTACAAGTTTCCACTGAAAAATTTAGCTCATATACGAAGCAAATGTCTGAAGTGTTTGCATTGTAACATTAAATAAAATCTCTATGTCTGATGACAAGGTTTCCGCATTGCCACTGCAGTTTCAGATGTCATAATAACATGCCCTTCTTGAAATGACAGCGCATTGATTCATAACATTGATATGGATGTTTTGTTAGGTTTATTACATTACAATATGATGAGAAGGATAGTGAACTTCCATCTTTCCGTGCGCGTTACGAGTCATCCGACTGTTTGGTTCAGTTTGTGTGGGGTGCCCAATAATACTGTCTAGGTAGAGCGCTCACTACAGAGAATGTTGTCTAAGCAGGCAGCTCAGTATCTTTTGGGAATGCTGCCTTGGAAGCCAGTTCATTAGCATTTGCAAATTACAATGTGTAAATCATTGAAATAACTTGAGGGTCTTGAAATATTTACGAAGTCCTGTTGTGGTCCAAAAAGACCTGTGCAAAAAAGGAAGAGGAGGTTCTTCTGTGAAAAACAATTATTATTATTTTTTTATGCAAAGGGCTTGGTAAATATTACAGTTTGCCAACCCCAAATGTATTTGCCTATCTATGCTCTGCAAAGACATAAACATATTTCAGTCAGGACCACTCTATTTGATTAAGATTAATGTAGAGATCCTGAACATTATTTTGATGGCAGGTTTTGGTCTGAAGGGTTCAGATTCTGAGCTGTCCACAAGCAACCGTCACTGAGGATTGAAACCCCAAAAGCCATGCAATTACCAGAAATTTTTATATGCAAATAATGCAACAGATATAAAATTCCATGCAGAAGTGATACAGGTCTGTAAATGTTTGGAGTTAACAGGACTAACAGGAGTAGAAGGGCAATTTTTTAAGCATATTTTATAAATTAATTTTATTCTGAAGCACAGTATTAAAAACTTAAATTAGTTCAGTCAGGACCCCTCTGTTTGATTAAGATTATTGTAGAGGTCCTGAACATTATTTTGGTGGCAGGCTTTGCTCTGAAGGGTTCAGATTCTGGGCTATCCACAAGCAAACCTCACTGAGGTTTGAAACCCCCAAAGCCTAATGCAATTACTAGAATTTTAATAATGCAACAGATATAAAATTCCATGCAGAAGTGATACAGGTCTGTAAATAAGACTGGACAAGATTAAGCAATGATTGGCTGATAGATGATTTCCTTGGACAAGACGCTAAATGATCATGTGCCTGTATAAGGAGGAGTTGGGGATGAAGGAGGGTATAAGTGCATGTCTGTGCAACAGACTAAGGCAAGTGTGAGTACGGATGAATTTATATATCTTATTTAGCCTAATTGTAGTGGAAGGAGTTACAATCAGCTGATGCTGGCTGTCACACCTTGGTCTGCCTGAACTACGCTTGAGCTCCATTCATCACTCAAACTACATTTCTATGTTTTATGACCATAAGAGGGCTTCACTTTAGACCTGGTAGCCTAAACATATTATAAAAGCTCTTTCCTACTAAAATATAAATTAAAATTGCTTGAGAAATTCTCGTGTCTAGATTATATTAAGGATTTCAAGGTTGATCAGATTGATGTGTGGAGATAAGGAATCCGTTAATGCTGTTATATTTGCCTGTGTAAACAGCCAAAGTGGGGAAGACGTCCCTGATCATGACACTGGTCAGTGAGGAGTTCCCGACTGTGGTATGTATTATTATTATTATTATTATTATTATTAATATTACAATCTCTGTAATAATTATTGTTATCAGCTGACTTTATTATTTGCAACAGTGCCTGTGTTTATTGTCAAAATGGATGTTTTTGTCATAATAGGTTCCTTACAGAGCTGAGGAGAACACTATACCAGCAGATGTCACACCAGAGAGAGTCCCCACTCATATAGTGGACTACTCGGGTATTAAACAAGAAAATCAATTATAGTGGTTATTATAGTTCTATGTATGACACTTAATTTAAAATATCTGCCTTTTTTTAAATACACAATATTTATTCAAAATTCACAAAAAAAATTGAAGAGGACATAACTGTGTTTGATACACAACACTTAATGCACACACACACATATTTTGATTTCCTCAGAGAAATTTATTTTTGCATTCCTTTTTAGGCCAATGTTATATGTATAGTCTACTCAGTGAACAACAAGAAGTCTATTGAGAAGGTGAGAGAACTTGATCATACAATACTCTTCATGCAGTAAGTCAGAATAACTTCACCATTCATCAGAATAATCGGTGGTTTGATCCATGATTTTCATGTCTGACTGATTATACAATATACATATATTTAGCTTACTCTTACATTACACGTGTAAAAGCCCATTCACACCAAGAACAATTACTATGAAGATAACTAGAACAGTAAATATTAGCATCAACAACTCTTAATAATGTTCTGTTTACTATAAGAGAGTGCTGCAGTTGTTGTTTACTGCTTTAATTGTCAAATCAAGTACTTTTATTGATGTGATTTATGCAGTGTTGATTGTTTCAAAGCAGCTTCACAGTAATAAATGGAAATAATGGAAATAATAATGGAATCAACGATGCAAACTTCAAATATTAGACAAATTCAAATTCTTCTGTAAAGCAGCTATAAAAAGACAATAGTGTTCAGCTCAAGTTAGTTATAAAGCAGCTGTACAAAAAATAATAATGTCATCCAGCTCAAATCAGTTTCAGTTTTGTTCTCATTTGATAGTGTCAGTGCAGTCAAAATTATAATAGTAATGAATATTAAGTGTCTTTTAATCCCCAGGTAAGCAATGGCAAGGAACCCAAACTCCATTAGGTGACTAAAATGGAGAAAAAAAAAACTTTGGGAGAAACCAGGCTCAGTCATGATACAGTATATATGAACGAAATGCTCAAACTCTTTAAAATTGAGTGGATTCTGATTGACTCACATTTGTATCATTCATCACTTATTCATCACTATTTTTATCATTAATCATCACGATTCCAACGATATCTCTCTTCTGTGTTAATTAGATTAATTAGAATGATTAGTAAGACTTTATAGTTATTATTATGGTTATAGTTACAGTCCTTGGTGTGAATGGGTCTTGAAACACATTTCTATAGCTTTCAGATTTTGTAAATAATGTCATTGTCACAGGTGACAAGTCATTGGATTCCATTGATAAATGAGAGAACCGACAAAGACAGCAAGTAGGTAACTACAGGTATTTGTGGTTTAGTGTGCTGCATTAGTTCTCTGTGTGTCTTTCTCACAAATACACAATTGCATGTTCATCTTTGAAGGTAGATTGTATTTTAAGGGGGCCATATCATATATCATATCATGTTTACCAACATTTTTCGCCACAGCCATATCATCCTGCAGCCCATGACTGGTTGCCCACTGAAGCTAAGCAGGGTTGAGCCTGGATGGGAGACCTCCTGGGAAAACTAGGTTGCTGCTGGAAGAGGTGTTAGTGAGGCCAGCAGGGGGTGCTCACCCTGTGGTCTGTGTGGGTCCTAACGCCCCAGTATAGAGATGGGGACATTATACTGTCAAAAAGCACCGTCCTTTGGATGAGACATTAAACAGAGGTCCTGACTCTCTGTGGTCATTAAAAATCCCAGGGCACTTCTCGTAAAGACTAGGGGTGTATCCCCGGTGTCCTGGCCAAATTCCCTCCACTGGCCCTTGTTGATCATGGTCTCCTAATAATCTATCTCTCTCTCCTCTCCACCTGTAGCTGGTGTGGTGAGCACACTGGTGCCGTTGTACTGTGGCTGCCGTCGCATCATCCAGGTGGATGCTGCACACTGGTGGTGGTTAAGGAGAGACCCCCTTATGATTGTAAAGCGCTTTGGGTGTACAGCAATACACAATAAAAGCGCTATATAAATGCCTCATTCATTCATTTGTTGCAGTTGACAAAATTGATGAACTAAGAAAACATACTATAACTTTCAGAACCTGAAATATTCATTGTCCAACTAGAGCAATTATTGAAACCGGTCATGTTTACATGTCAGTAATAACTCTTGGGTGATGATCAGAAACTTGGTTTGTTAATGAATTCCAATGATTCGTACATAGAGTGCCTGCTCATTCACAGTTAGCATAATTTTCAGTCATAAATTGCAACTATGTGAATTACATGTACAGGAATGCTGTGGGGTCTTCTGGACTCCCTTTTCAAATTTTGCTCCAGTATATTGCATAAATGCTAAAGAGACTAATTGGCCATAAGCAAATAACAGAAAATATTCAATGAAAGCTTGCAGACAAGTGCTACTGGTGCTCAGAATAATAGTAATCTGTAATAAAAAGGAAAGCCGATTATGTGGCTGTTTTCAATCATTTTTATTTATCAATTAAATGTATTTTCACATTGAACTAATTGATTAAATAATGAATAGTGTTATATATTATTATGGTGAATTGTGTTATCGAAATGCAGTCATCAGATTGCATAAAGTTCACAAGTTTTAC